CAATTAAACAAGTACCTCGATATGCTAAAGTTCTTAAAGAATTGTGCACCAACAAGAGAAAGCTCAAGGGTAATGAAAAGGTAAGTAAGGGGGAGAATGTTTCAACTGTCATCCAGAAAAAAACTACCCCCAAGTGCAAAGATCCAGGTATATTTACTATCCCTTGTAAACTCGGTAATGTTAGGATTAAGAGAACAATGTTAGATCTATGAGCCTCAATAAATATCATGCCTCTTTCTATTTAATCATCTCTGAATGTTGGTCCTTTGAAAGATACATGAGTAATTCTTTAACTTGCTAATAAATCTAATGTATATCCTAAAGGAGTTTTAGTAGATGTTTTGGTGCAAATTAATGAATTGGTTTTTCCTTTAGATTTTTATGTGCTTGATATGCAAGAAAATTATTCTTCTAAATCAACATCAATTTTTTTAGGAAGGCCATTTTTAAAAACAGCTAGGACAAAAATTGATGTAAATGATGGTATACTTACCATGGAATTTGATGGTAAAATTATTAAATTCAATATTTATGATGCCATGAGATGTCCTAGTGATGTGTCCTCTGTTTTTGTCATGGATGTTATTGACCCTTTAGCACAGTAAACCTTTGATCAAAATGATGATGACAAGTTGAAAGATACACTCAACATGAATTTCACTTCTGAATGATTGCAGGGAATTATTAAAGAGTCTGTGTTGGATCTTGATTTGCAAGATACAATCAAAGAACTAGAATCACTCAAACCATGAGGTATGATGTATCTTATATTGAGTCACTCTTTCTCACACCAAGCTTCATCCTTCTCTTGTGCAGGCACCCAAATTGGAAACGAAGCCTTTGCCAAATCATCTGAAGCATGTATATCTAGGACAAGAGGAAACTAATCCGATGATCATTCCTAACAAACTCTCTTGCTTAAAAGAAAAAGTTGATTTGAATGCTTAGAGAGTACAAGGAAGCTATTGGATGGAGAAAAAATTTCTCTATCGATGAAATGCAAAGTTTGGATACGAGTCAAATATTTAAGGTCGATGATCATCGTTTCAAACCTTTTTATGATGGTTCTCTGGTGCATACTGTTGGTCAAACCATTTTGGAGTACCCAACTTAGGATGATTAAGAAGCTACGACGTCTAGCCAAAGACGTTAAAGAAAGGCGCTCTTGGGAGGCAACCCAATTTTTCCTTTTTCAATTACTCAACACCACTTCTGGTTCAGGAAACAAGATTCAAATAATTTTTTTAAATATAAATGTGCCTTATCTTTTGTTTATTTTCTGTGCTCCTTTAGAATAATGCGTGCCACCAGCCGTACCTCCCTCTCCACCCGACCCATGTCTCCGCTCAGTCCGAGAATCAACCCATCCGACGCATAGCGCCTTCACCCCCAGCTCATGACAGATATCGTTGTTGCTCAACATTTTAGGGGAGTTTTCTACTCTTACTCTTTTATGGTTTTTCAGCATATACTTTTGATACATTGAGGACAATGTATGAATTAAGTGTGGGGGAGAGTATTTTATACATGGTTTTGCTTTGAACATAATTTTGCTTCAATTTTTTTGGAAAAAAACAAGTATGCTTTAGTTCTTTTTGTGATTTTCTCTTCGAAATTCCAGATTCTTTCGATGTTTATCCTTACATGATTTGGATTGTTCTGAATTATCGAATTAAGTTGAAGCATAATAGGGGATTAGCTTGAGTAGTTGAATTCTTATTTGCTACACACTGGTTGATTACTCTTGATGACTGATTGAATGAAAAATGTGTGGGATTTAATACATGTTTACCCTTTTTGCGAGTTTTTGGGCCAATAAGCAATCATTTTCAGCATGCTTCATTTCTTGATTGATTGATTGCCATACATATATACATGACGAAGACCACATTTTAGAATTGGATGCATCAAGAACGATAAGGGCATTTAGGTGAAACCATTTTTAGCTTTCGTAAATAGCCTACCCTGATTATCATCCTTAAAAGCCAATTTTGAGCCTGAGACTTTTTGTTTGAAATTAACCATGATACAAGCAAATATCTAATCATTTTTGTTAATTTCCCCTCTTTTGAACCTTGAATTAGGGGATTGTATAAGCTTCTTCACATGAGAATTCAAATTATCTTGAGAAGATTGGAAGATGTTGGAATACAGTGATTCGAGTTGCAATCTCATTCATTGAGGAAAAAAACAAAAAAAAAAGGAAAAAAAAGAAAAGAAAAAGAAAAAGAAAAAAAGTCGTGCAAAGGAAAAAAAAAAGATTGTGCAAAAAAATGTGTTATGTGGCTTGAAGAGAACATTTGAGATTGAGTTCCATGTGGATAAGTTTCTATGACTCCTTCAATATAAAACAACTCAAATTCATTTCCTACCAAACCTCATCTAAGCCCCTTACACCCTGTTTAAGACCCTGAGGTTTTTATGCATTCAATTCATTGATTAGTGGTGGGGATGTGATAGATTAGCAAGCCTATGGTAAAACTTTTCTATGTTTTGGATTGAGAGTTTATTGACACCCTAAACACTTCGAGCATATTGATTGAATCCAATGTGAGGGTATTAGATCCCACTGCATTTTGATTTCGAAAAGATTGATGGAGTGATTATTTATATGTGTTGGTTTATGAGAATTTCTTCTAGGAATTGCTAATTCCTTACTTGTGCCTAGATTTGAGTCTTTAAGGCATGACAATTTTGATTGTGGAAGGATGAGCAAAGGAAGAAGAAGGATTGATGTTGAGAAGAGTTATGAATTTGAACTATTGTATGCTTGAGGACAAGCATTGGTTTAAGTGTGGGGGAATTTGATAAGATGCATATTAGACATATATTCTATGATATTTTCCTCACATTTGAAAAACTAAAATTGCTTAAATCATGGATTTTGATTATATTTCGTATTTTGTGGATTAGGTTGATGATTTGGATAAAACAAGTTCAAAATCTAATAATTAGCATGATCTTCACAAAATCCCCAAATCAAGGAGGAAAAATCAGAATTCAAGAAGTTGATAAGACCATGAAGAGGTTTTCGCATAAAGCGTGGGCACGACTTATTCATCCTGAGATATCGCAGAAGAAGTCTTCAGTTAAGGCGTGGGAGTGCCTTACCAGTCAGTACAACCCTAAATTAGGGTTACAAATTTACAAGGGAAAAAGAGTTTAATGACAGTTGTAACACTTTTGATTTATTATTATCTTTAGAAAAGGATGGGGCATTTAAAACTCCTATTTTTGTGGGATTTTCTTTAAGGGAAACTTCCTTATCTAGAGTAGGAAAATCCTTATAAAAGGGGAGCTAGGGCATCAGTTTTACATGAAGTTTTTCATCAGGTTTTACATCAAGTTTTCTTTAAGTTTTTCTTTTGGTATCCTTTCAATTATGAGTGGCTAAATACTTTTGTTCCAACTGGAGGATAATTGAAGTTTAGGTTCTTCAAGGATTGTGAGATCTAAATAATTTTCATTGTTCTTTTATTTCTTTGCTATTTTTATATCTTTTGTTTTTATTAAGAATTATTATCTTGATTGATTATGCAAAGGGCCCGTTGTTCAATTATCAGGTTGATAAATTGTCATTTAGAACTTTAAATCCGTAATTGTTTAAACGTTCTAATATTAGTGGTAAAGTAACAGTTGATTATGATTATGTTATGAAGGTATATAACCTAGGCTAAATGAATCGAGCTTGTGTATTGTTGGTTAGAATTGGTGGTCCCTCTAGTGGTTAATATTGTTGGTGGATTAAATCTTAAGAGCTTGTCTTGGGTTGTTCATTAACAAGGGAAATAATCAAAGAGCTTCTCTTAATTATCAAGAAACTAAAGGAGAGACAGATTGTTAGAGCTTCTCAATAACCATAACCAATTTAGTGAAAAGTAGAAGATTTTATCATTGCATCATGATCAATTCTCTGAAACTATTCCTTTAGTTGGATATATTCTTGATATTGATTTCTCTAAATTCTTAGTTGATTATAATTTTTTTTCCTTTTTATTTTTCTCAATTTCAAAACCCTTTTTATTTACTTTAATTTTCATTAAAATAAGTCTACCCAATCCCTATGGATTCGACCTTGCTTATCACTACTACAATTTATATTTCAAAGCAAGTATTATTATTTGTTAGATTCGACACCCACCAGTGCAGCATTTCAAAAAATAGCATGTATACGTTGTTGCAACCACAGCTTGATATCTTCTTTTTTGAAATAGTTTTCCTTCTCATGTACTTCAATGACAATGATCAAAAGCTTTGGGAGGAAGATCCACATGAATATGTAAGGAAGGGTTATGGTAAGGTACCAAACCTTGTGTGTGTGTGTGTTACAAAACCCTGTACTGGTCACAGTGATTTATACATTATGTTTTGTAATGCAGACATAATTGAAGATTTATATAGTCCTAGAACTGCTTCCACGGACTTTGTCAGTGAGCTAGTCATAAAACGTGGAAAAGAGAATATTCAAAAATTTATTCAATTCATTGTGGAAATTTTCAAAAGGTATCTTTTTACATTTTCGAACTGCTGGGAAAATTGGTTTTCTTTGATATTCTAATTTTTGTTTTGTTTTGGTATATTCATTGTACTCCTTGTTCCAGATACGATGCAGCACCAGTAGAATATGAGCCCTATCGACAGAAAGATGTTGCTCTTCTAGCCATTGGAGCACTTTGTGATAAACTGAAACAAACTGAGCCCTACAAATCTGAATTGGAACATATGCTGATGCAACAAGTTTTTCCTGAGTTCTGGAGTCCTGCTGGTCATCTTAGAGCCAAGGTTTGTGTTCCACTATTCAATCATGAAGGCAACTTAATCAAGGTCTCCAAAAGATGTTTGTATGTGTGAGAACTTTCTCAGTTTTGTACTTTTTTGAAATAGATATTAGGCTGCATCGGTAGCAGGCCAGTATGCCTATGTAAACTTCTCTAACCAGAATAATTTCCGCCAAGCACTGCATAGCGTTGTTTCTAGATTGCATGATCCAGAGCCTCCATTTCGTGTTGATTCAGTTTTTGCATTAAGATTGTTTATAGAAGCATCCACAGGTATACAACTTGTACTTCTCTCTCTATTTTGCTTTGTAGTTTCATTGTTAGTTATTTATCTGATTGTTGAGTGCTTAACAGACAATAAATTGTTTCATATGCAGATTTAAATGAGATTCGTCCTATTCTTCTTCAACTACTTGACGGTAAGTGGTATTTGGAGCTTGATTATTTTTTTATTAGTATCCCTAGTTATTGTCGGTTGTCTCAAAATTTACTTGGCTCTTCGGAACACTGTTTTGTGCTATTTTCTCAACTTTGGTTTCATGTACATTGATTCTAGTCAGCTGCCACACAGTACATAGTTAATTTTTTTGTTATTCAGCTTAGTCAATTGTTTTGTAATTTATTTTCCTCTAGAGATTTTCAAACTTATGAATGAAGTTGAGAATGAGGATCTTGTCTTTACTCGGAAGACTATAGTGGACAAGTTTGGGGAGGAGATGTCTCCTTATGCTCTTGGATTATGTCCGAATCCGGTAATGCATGTTTTATCATTTTTGAAAGTGCCAAATTTCAAATTGTCTATTCTGAAACTATCATAATGTATCTGTTTCCAGGCAGCTGCATTCTGGAGGTGCATGAACACTACAGAAGTTGATGATCCTGGTGCTCTGGCCGCTGTTGGCTGTTTGCGTGCCATAAGTACAATACATTTTTTGATAAGAAACGAGGCCTCATTAAAAACCCCTTCATAATCTCCGCGGTACATAAGTACCTCAGCGGACATTGGAAGGATGAAAAGAGTGCCAGTAATTTTATTGCCAAAGAGAAATTACACCTCATATTTCATAACTGTCGCGGTACATAAGTACCTCAGCGGACATTGTAAGGAGGATAAGAGTTCCACAAATTTTATTGCCTAAAAGAAATTACACTCATACTTCATAACCGCCACATTACATAAGTACCTCAGTGGACATTTGAAGGAGGAAAAGAGTGTCAAAAATTTTATTGCCAAAAAAAAGTACACCTCATACAACAACAGGATATTACAAACATCTCCCACCAACTTAACCACAATCTTCTATACAAAAACATCATCCAAACAAAAAGTTACTAAAAAATTTCTCTATACCGACTTAGCCAAACTATCAGCCTCCCAATTCATAACCCTTTTTACAAACCTATTAATAACACTATTGTAACATCCCAAACTATGGGTTAGTGACTAAATGGTAAAGTTTCAGAATTTGGTAATTAAAGTAGAAGAATGGATTAGTCAATGATTTATCTGGAAATAAATCCTAAAAGTTGTTAGTAATTATCAAATGAAGTAGAGGAAAAATGGTCATTTAACTAATAAATGAATTAAAAATAAATATGATAAGGATATATACGTTAGAGGGGATAAGGATGAAGAGATATTCTCTCATCTTCTTCTCTTCTTCTTGTACGAGAGAAAGAAAGAGCCAACTTGCAAAGGTAAGATTCCTTGTTAGCTGATTATTTGTTAATTTTAAGAGTGGGTTTTGATCATTAGGTAATACTTAAGCTTATGGAAAGCTTAAGTTGTCCTAAAATCAAAAGATAAAGAAGTTATGAAAGATTAAAGAAAATGAGTTTCTTAAGGAAATTCTGGAAAAGAGTTAGTAAGTGAATTTTGAGAAGCAATTTGACTTGTCATCAATCTAATTAAGGGATATGGAGTGTTAGAATTAGATTTAAAACATGTTAAAAATCTGGTATGATTCTTGAAGTAATAAAGAGGAGAGGATATTAAGGTTAAAGACGAGATAATTGATTATAAATGAGTTTAAACATGTATATGAAAGTTAGGAATATGAAAGGGGATGAATATGAAGCATTTGAGTGAAGAGTTGATTTTCGGGTTCAAAAGAGGTTCTGGGCAGAGTGCATCGATGCACATTCATAGTGCATCGATGCATCAAGGTTAAAACCCATAAATTTGTTTGAAGGTGTATCGATGCACAGGTATGCATCGATGCACTCTTTTAAAATAGAAACATCGAATGCAATTAGTGCATCGATGCATAAGGCATGCATCAATGCATCCCAGTGATAATACAACATCGAATGCATTTTATGCACCGATGCATCAGTAGTGCATCGATGCATACTTTCATTGAAAGATGAAATTGGCATTTTTCTTAATCTAAAGAGTGAACCATTAGAGTATATTAGTTTAATACTAATATAGATCTATGTATGATTAGTAGATTAGAACGTGATCCCGTTCTGAATCAATTGAACGATTAGAATCAAATCAAAGCAAAGCTAAGGTGAGTGCACATTCTCTACTATATGAGGAAAATAAGACTTGTGATAAGTCTATTTCCAATAGTAAAATACATGAATTCATAGAGGTATGTGTTTGTTATGATTTATATGTGTGCATGAGTATATGTGTTATTGATATGATTCTATGATCATAGATGTAAACTATGTGATAAGTGATAAGTGACTATATGAAATTATATGAGAATAAGAGATGACAATAATTTACATGTCATATGAAAACCAGAGAAGTGTTATAAGAAAAGTGCATATATGTATAAATGAATGATATGCAAAGTGAGATATATGGTTACACATACATGTGGTATGTGACAGAAGAGAAATAACAAGTGATATGAAATGTTATAAATGATAATGCCCATGTTATGTGATATGAGAGCTAGGGGTATAGTTGACATGCCAAGAGTCGAGGGTATACCTATGTTCTACGGAACATATGGACAGAATTACCTATGTCTTTTGAGACATATGGACAGTATACCTATGTTCTACGGAACATATGGACAGAATTACCTATGTCTTTTGAGACATATGGACAGTATACCTATGTTCTAAGGAACATATGGATAGTTTACCTAGGTTCATCGGAACCTATAGACAGTTACCAAGGATCTTTATGACCTCTGGATAGGTCCTTCGGGACATTTATATGAGCTGTGATGACAGCATATGTGTGTACAACCTCAGTGTACTCACATACCTTAAGTTCTCACCAGTGTACATGGGCTAATAAAGAGATTAAACAAACATACTGAATTGATATGTATACTATGGGTTTATAAATGGTTATCAAAAGTAAGTGGTTTGAAATGTGTTACATGACCTATGATGTTATATGTGTTTTTTAATGATGATATATGTTCATGTATGCTTTATGTTATATGAAATATATATGTTTATATGCCTCACTAAGTCATCGATTAGCGTGTGATTGTTTCACACGTAGGTTTGGAAAGCGAAAAGAGAAGTAAAGAGGAACAAGACAGGTCAGTTCTCCTTACCGAATAACAGATCAGAAGGGAGGTGAATAATATATATATTTTTGTATATAAAGTTCTAGTTGGCATGTAATCAAAAGAATATATTGTATAAGCTCTGAATAGTTCTGCAATGTTTGAATAAGTTAAATTACAAAAGTTTTTTTTAAATTACTCACTATTTTATACAAGTAAATGTTTTGAAAAAGTCAATGTGACACCTCGGACTCGAATCCACGGGTTGGGGGTGTTACATTTAATGGTATCAGAGCTACGGTTTAGCCAATTCTAGGCTTAAATCGAAGTCAGAAGTGTTTTAAAAAGTGTACATGCCACTCAAAGTGAAATTCTGATATGATGTGTAAGGAGTATGCTGTCTTGCTAAAAAAAAAATAGATTAGTATGTGATAATAGAAGTATGATAATAAGAGCTTCGAAAGAAGTGAAAGGTAATAAACCTGAAGGTAATAGCATTCACCTGCCCTGGCCAGGCAGGGAGAAGAGCAAACACCTCAGGAAATGCCTGTATAAAATTTGGAAAATTATTCTTCATGTTGAAGAATGTTCTGATGTGTTTTCAATTTATACTTCTTTAACTCATAGAATGAATGTATCAAATTAGTTGATAAAGTTGCGAGCACCCAAGTTCAAGGGTGGATTGAGGAAGGTTCTATTGTTATAGACCTTTGGTTGAATGATATGATAGAAGTTTTCATTTCTTCAAAGTGGAGATGTTAAATTGAGTAGTTTTGTTACTACTTTGGTAAGTTAGAGTATGGTGGACAATTGTCACCATAAGAACGTTAAAGATTAAATGATGTGATTAGAATTGTATAAGAGTTTCAAGAATAAGTGCATTGATGACCAGTTTTAAGACAGATGAAACTGGAATACGAGCTTGAAACAAGGGAATTACACCTTGTATGAGTATGATTATAATTTATAAGCTAGCAGAATTGCTGCTGAGTTAATTCCGACTGAAAATGATACATGATTTGTGTTTAGGACTTGCGCCTAAATTAAAAGATTAGTTGATAAAGTTGCGAGCACCCAAGTTCAAGGGTGGATTTGAGGAAGGTTCTATTGTTATAGACCTTTGGTTGAATGATATGATAGAAGGTTTTCATTTCTTCAAAGTGGAGATGTTGAATTGAGTAGTTTTGTTACTACTTTGGTAAGTTAGAGTATGGTGGACAATTGTCACCATAAGAACGTTAAAAGATTAAATGATGTGATTAGAATTGTATAAGAGTTTAAGAATAAGTGCATTGATGACCAGTTTATAAGACAGATGAAACTGGAATACACGAGCTTGAAACAAGGGAATTACACCTTGTATGAGTATGATTATAAGTTTAATAAGCTAAGCAGAATTGCTGCTGAGTTAATTCCGACTGAAAATGATACATGTGACGAAATAGATTTAAAGTTGTGTTTTGGTCAAATGGTGACGAAATACAAGTTTGGTATGGTTATAAGGTAATTAGAGAGTTATGAAGAAATAGATGGATTTATGATATAGAGTGATGAGATGGATGTTATTGTCAACGTGATGAGTGACATTATATGGAATTTTAGAAAGGTCAAAGGAAAAATGCATAATCGAATGAGAGAAAAGACAACAATGGATTGGTATACGGTTATTGTTTTATGATAAGCAACAGAAGATGAATGTATAAACGAAAAGATAGTTGGAAAACTAAAGGATTGAAAAGTAAGTTTCTGATGATGACAAGAAAGAATAAGTCAGGGAAGCAACATAAGAACATTAGAAGATATGTTCTTATTAAGATGTGCAGTGAAAATTCGAGGACGAATTTTCTTATAAGGAGGGGAGAGTTGTAACATCCCAAACTATGGGTTAGTGACTAAATGGTAAAGTTTCAGAATTTGGTGATTAAAGTAGAAGAATGGATTAGTTCAATGATTTATCTGGAAATAAATCCTAAAAGTTGTTAGTAATTATCAAATGAAGTAGAGGACAAAATGGTCATTTAACTAATAAATGAATTAAAAATAAATATGATAAGGATATATATGTTAGAGGGGATAAGAATGAAGAGATATTCTCTTCATCTTCTTCTTCTTCTTGTACGAGAGAAAGAAAGAGCCAAGCTTGCAAAGGTAAGATTCCTTGTTAGCTGATTATTTGTTAATTTTAAAAGTGGGTTTTGATCATTGGGTAATACTTAAGCTTATGGAAAGCTTAAGTTGTCCTAAAATCAAAAGATAAAGAAGTTATGAAAGATTAAAGAAAATGAGTTTCTTAAGGAAATTATGGAAAAGAGTTAGTAAGTGAATTTTGAGAAGCAATTTGACTTGTCATCAATCTAATTAAGGGATAT